GTATATATATATAGTATAATATATATATATATATATATATATATATATATATATATATATATATATATATATATATATATATATATATACATATATATATGCAGGATTGGTTGTGACTGGTTGGGTTCGAATTAATATACCATCGAGCTGATAGCTCAGTTGGTAGAGCGATGGGCTTGGCCCAGAGGTCGCCGGTTCGAATCCGACTCAGTCTCAACTTTTCCTGTTCACTAAAAAATACTTACCTACGGTGATTAACATATATAAAAATTATAAATGCCATATCGTGATGATTAATATATATATATATATATATATACGAAGTCAAGAATCAACATTACATCACTTATATGGGGGGGGGGCGAAATTCCTAAAGGGGGACGATATTCCTAGGATATTCGCCCTCCCACGGGCGTTATTCCTAGGAAAATCGCCCCTCCCCCCCAATTTGAGAGGGGCGCGCGCGAATCTCCTGGGGGCGAAAGTCCTGTGACATATAACACAAAACATTTCAACTTCAGAAACGATTTCTCCGGAAATATGCAAGCTTTCGAGGTGTCCCCGCACATTATCATTGCATGAAGAAAAGCCGAAATATCTCACTCAGTTGTCAGTTCTCGACAGTCTCTACATTGTTTTGGATCCTTCTTACATAAAAAAAATTGCCAGACATGGTTAAATTAGAGAACAAAGAAAAATCATGCCAAAAAACGAAAGCGCCGTGTTATTTACATTGATTCAGTTATAGAAACCGGATATTAAAAAAACCCCATTGAAATCGACAACTTTTAATTATCCGCGAAATGCATATTAAAAACAAAAGCCAAAACTACAAATATATTTCAAATACAAACTATTCTCCGATAATGGTGACGGAATTGGTCTAAAATACTTTTTATTTAATAAATAATAGAAGGAAAAGTTCAAGGGTGGGACGGTGCTTTTACTACAAAAGTTTTGTAGTTCGCTATAACTACAGCTACTTCAAAAATATGTAGTCAGCTACAACTACTGCTACTTTTGAACTAAGATAGTTCGCTACTGACTACAGTTATACTGCTTAAAATATGTAGCGAACTATTTCGCTATTTCGCTACTCTATATTTTTTAGTTTTACGGCTCTCTCCTCCGCAGAGGCTTTAATTGGCTATGAAGGCGCGAAGCCTCTGCACGATTCCACACCCAATATGGCGGTAGACCGGGGGGGGCGTATAATTATAAAACGCAAAATTCAAGTCAAAATGACTGAGAAAATATCTGTTTACAATACTGCAACAAGCTGAAAAAGAGATTACTTAGTAGCTCTACGAAATAAACCAAAGTGTTATGTCCATGCAGTTTGCGAGAAAACGTCTGCTATTTTTCTAGACAAGGTGTCCACCTACACTATAAAACAATGCATGGAAACAACGTGTTTTATAGCGAACAGGTTTTGGTTGCAAGCGAAGAAACTGGTATTTAAATTTATATTTGACATTTGTATTTTTAGAAATGTGTCCAAAACCACATAAAAGAAAAAAAATGAGTATGTATAGCATACAGAACCATTATAAAATTTATTATCAAGACTGAAATTAAATACAATTCAACTATTTCAACTTCGGCAATTGATTTGTAAATAAACGTGACCTTAATAAGTCGGTTTCGACCTGGTTCAGTTTGGAGGTTCGTATCTTTGGTTCAATATACGCTATGTAGATGAAAATACCACCATTCGATTCACTAGAAAAATATGATCTCCTAATTTCTATCGATAGTTTTAGTGAAATGTCAACACTATAGCGATTTACGGCCTTTGAAAGTCAAGCGAAATTGTATTATTTGTATATTATCAAGTCACGCAATATTTATACTTGATAAATATAAACTAGGCATACCTTTCGCCGAACATAACTTCGGCTCCTTGGGACGCATCCTCTTTGTATCAGTCTTGTTCGAAAGAAAATTCAAAACACTATTTAGAGTGTTATTTTTGAGCTGGTACCTTGAAAACGGCATCTTTTATTATGGTATTTCCATTTCTGATCTGATCGTGAACTATTCCCGAACTTCAGCGTGTGACAGGCGCGTGCCACTGTGCGAGTAAAAACTCGATATTTTGAAAAATTAAAAATAAATATTTCTACTGGCCGTATTCAAACGAAATTTTCTATACGAAAGCGCTTGAATATAAGGAGTTTGTTCTGTGACGAATTCCGAAGAGTTCAAGAGATATTCAAGTTTTTCTCGATACGAAATACAGAATGTTTGGCCAAGCGGTGAGTAAAATATACGATTGTTTTGCTTTGTGTAAAATGTTAAAAAATCTTATTACTTTTGACCATACACAAAGATGCAAGCACTAGTCAATGAGGTCAATCAATCATGCATTAAATTATGATTTTATTTTCAAAAAGGCGTATGTTATTTAGCTTAAAAATCACCTTTTGTTTCGATGTTTACTGTTTGTCCCACTTTGTCCCACTTTGCGATACAAATCGTGCAGAGGCTTCGCGCCTTCCCTCGCCTTTTTCCTTTTCCGCCTGCGCTCCTTCGCCCAGCGGCTACGCTCGTGTTCCAAGATACGCCATGTAAAGTGTAGTGAAATGTATCTCATCGTATTAAATATTAAATCCTAAGAAAACTAAAGCCTCTGCGGAGGAGAGAGGTTTTACGGTATTTGGAGCATCCACTAGCTCAGCCTGTAATGTCACCTATAACAAATCGACTTTCGAGTAGCAACAGGAAACAAAAAGGGTCAAAGCAACATTTTTGTAAGCACAACAGTGTTCATGAGTGCCACTTTTCATTGCGCTAAAATAATCTTTACTGCATAAAATAATCTTTTAAGCAAACCGTGTCTTAATATCATTTTATTCTATGAACGGTTGCTAACAATTTTAAAAAGTAGCGCATAGCGATTCGCTGTTTGAAAAGTAGTCAACTATTTGGCTACTTTTAAGCAAAATGTAGTTCGCTATAACTACAACTACTGTTTTAAAAAGGTAGTCAAAAACTACTGGCTACTTGAAGATTGTAGTTCGCTACAGTAGCGAACTACAACTACTTCGCTACTACCCACCCTTGGAAAAGTTATAAAACGCCTTCTCTAAACACAAACATTATTGATTTGTTGCGTGTATTTATTTATTTTAGAGCTGTTAATTGGTGACAAATGACCACCGAGCGGAGATGTATTGCCGCCTAATCGCGTTTGTATGAAAAAATATCCATCTCCAGTTTACAAAATTTTGGCATACAAAGTGAAATTTTAGCTAAATGACTAGCATTGTTCTCCAGTAAACCTAAGACGCGTGTTAACAAGAAATAGTGGCTGGGACACCATCTCAGAAATGTTAGCCCGCCCATGCATAGGGGAGGATTTGCCTCATAAAGACTCCTTCCTTTGTCGCGGGAAATGAGTTTGACCAAAACTTTTCTTATTTGATATGAATAACTTAGTTATTCATCGACATATTTTAATAGGATTTAAATTTCAGAAGCAATCCATTTTTTTACTATGTCAATGGGGCAAATATTACAGCCACTAAACTCGCCCGTTCCAAATAGATATTTGGCTTATTATTACTTTTGTGAAAACATTATTCAATAAAAAAACACGGATACATGTTCTGTAGACCGTCGCATGACTTCTGTACAAAGTTAGAAAAATTGCAAATATTATATTCGTCCTAATCATGAGCGCCATTTTGGAATCCTGAACATGTCTAATATATTTGAGGATAAACAGAAAAATAAGACAATTTTCAAGAAATGATTATTTGAACAAGAATCAGGACACATCAAGGAAGTTATAGATATATTATGAAGCCAAACGAAAATTGAGTCCGAATTCGCTGGACCGTTCTTGCAGACAATGCCCTCTTAACAAACTAATGCGCTAACAAACTTAAAGATTAACAAGCTAACAAACTCACCCAGCGACATCCCGTCCCCAGACTCAAGCTCGGGCGGCCCTCATAGTGACCCGGGCTTGGACCTGGGGACGAGGATGACTCAGCGAATATAAGCGAAACTTCATTTTGACCGCGCAATTTTATTGTGCATAAAAAAACGATGTACCGTGTTGTAAGATTTTATATTCTGCAGTAACCGTGTGAGTTTGATTCGGTCTTTTTGAAGCAACCTTGTTCCCAGGCTTTCTTATCTTTGCTCGTACCTTGCACAAGAAGAAATACCCTGGAAAGGAGGTTGCTTGGAAGACTGATATTCAATTAGTAGTCTAATATAATCATAGAAATGAAGAGAAGGTATATTTCCATAATTTACTATACATTATTTTAAGCGTTTTGTATGCACTTCTGGTAACGTTCGTTGCAGTTTGATCCCATAATGCAGCAAAGGGTGTACTTCTTCAGGCAGCTCATCTAAAAAAAAAGGAAAGGAATCTGGGACCTGTTGCATACAAGGCTTAACTAATCGTTTTATAACTCTCAAATTTACATCGAAGTTCTCATCAAGTCTTTCAGAATTCTAACCACCGATTCACAATTATAATTTATAAGGTTCCGTCTCTCCTTCTGCTGCGTTCGAATATAACTGAGTATATTCTGTATGGTATGCAAAGAAAATGTTTGTAGTTGACGATACCAACATGCGTGTGGTCCAGGAATGTTACATGAATTATATATTATATAGAGGCCAGTGTTTTATAAAAATCCCAAATATCATTATAGTGTTTGGTACTAAACATGCAGCCGTTTATTATTATTGAACCATGCAGGCATGAGTGAAAATGCCGCTAAAGCATCAAACCTAAACTCGCAAACCTTTCTTGTAAAATCGATATCACTTTTTAAGGACTTTCAAGGACAAAAGGGTGAAAAGAAGTCGTTAAAAATCAGAAAACAAGAGAGGTTAATTAAACTGTACAAACGGCAACTTAATTTAATGAATTTTAAACAGCTTTGGTATTTGTAAGACATGAACAAAATCAATTTACAAAATATCCAACTCTTAATGCCAAACAATTTCTGAAAATATCCACTAAAGCAAGAACAATTTAATTAAGGACTTTCAAGCTCTTCTTTATACTGAGAAACTAAAGGACTTTCAAGGCCTTCAGTTTTTTGTTTCCAAATTCAAGAACATTCAAGGATTTTCAAGTTTTGTATGCCTAGAATATATACATAAACTTGTGGTCACAGCTCAACAAGTGGACTCTGCAGCTGGGTTGGTTACTGTGTTGCACCTGAATCGCAGGGCCGACCCCCCTGCCAGAGGACCTATAGACCTTATTCATAAATCGTGACGAGGCCTCGTATCCTAGGATACGGGAACAAAACGCGGGAAAACAAGCGAAAACTGCTTGACAAGCCAAATTCAGATGCTATTGTGTCGACTTCAACGGCTTGTTTCTTGTTGCTTTTTGCGATTTATATCGATTTTTGTGTGTATTTTAAGACTTTTTGCCCACAACGAAAGCGGTAAACGAGTATATTATAAAAGCGACCGGTTTTTCTCCCGTTTTTGTGGCAAAAATGACAACGTATAGCGATGGTGTTTATCCAGAAGCGAAAAACAGTATTTTACTGAGATTTTAACGTCAATATAAAGGTTATTCTGTGAAAAATCAAGTCAACTATGGAATGAAAGTATAATTTTTCAAATTTGACATAAATATGAAAGAAAATAACAGGTCAAAAATCACAAGAGATCGTCAAATGGTATTGATTCGTACGGAAAAATATGAACTATATGGCTGTGGCTCGATAACATTCTGCAAGCAGTTTACAAGTTTAAAAAATGAAGGCTACATTACCTGAGTGAGTTGTAATCCTATTTCTTCAACAATAGTTTCGTATTTCTTACGATTTTTTATTTTTTTTTTTTATTTTTTTTTTTACAAACTTAGTCATAAAAGACAGGTTAACCCTACAGAGCTTAATGCTCCATTTACAGGGTCCCTAATAATATGTATATATGTATATATAAAAAAACAACAAAGAAACAACAACATTACATTATTTACAACACATTTTATCCACAAGACTGGACAACGGACGACACGAGTGACACTTGACACATATACTTTTAAATGTTTGTGGAGCATTAATGTTATATATTTCTTTAGTCATTGCTTCATAATAAGTTAACAGGTAAGATTTGAATTGGCCGACAGTAACGCTTGCTTCTCGAATATGTGGTGGTAGGGAGTTATATATTCTGGGAGCTCTGAAAAATTAAAGTGTTAACTCTGGAAAGTTTTAATGTTACACTGTTAGTTGTAGCGCGCCTGGTGATACGATCGTTTGATACTATACTAATCTGAGAGTCATTCAATTTAATTGCCTTAAAGAGATACACCAAGTCCAGGTACTCGTGCCAGTAAGACAGAGGAAGTAAACCAGTTTTCAATAGTCTCTCCTGGTAACTAGTTTCAGATCTAAACGGCAGCGATAGGATGTCGTTGATGTCGTGATAGAATCTCGTTGCACGTCTTTGAATCTTTTTCGTCTTTGAATCTTCTTCTTTGGTGTTGTATAGACGTTTTGTAGCCTTGTTGGTTGTTTGTTTTGGCCATACAAACTTGGCAATAATACAAAGTCAAAGGTTTCCTTTTTCGACTGATTCCAGCACCTTTTGCTTTAAATATCATGTTATATTTTCTCAGAAGTATTTTTTTCAACTTTCAAGCTCAGTTTTATAGATACTCTTTTCGAAAAAAAGCCGTAATATTCACGAAAAAAAGCTGCCATAGCCGACAGCAAAAAAACATTTTGTCAATTTTCCCGCGTTTTCCCCCGTTTCCTAGGATACGAGGCCTCATCACGATTTATGAATAAGGTCTATGCAGTTGCACTTTTTGCAGGTATCCCTGATTAGGTCTAATAGATGTATACAAAATCAGTAAACTCGATCATTTCTATCTATAAAAATCCTTTCATATATCACTAAATGGAGTGAGATGCGAACAAAAAGTCGTATTGTTTTATATTGGCTTTTATAAATTCGGAGAATTCATTTGCATAAGATGCGTTGACAGCTTTTTTGTTTCCTTGTTGTCTTAGTTGACCCCAGTTCAATATTATTATTGACACCTGTTTGAGTCAAGTTATTCTAAAATAACACTTGAGTGAATTTTAGATCCGAAAGGGATCAGTGGCGAAACTTGCGTTCATCAGTGCTAGTCATTCCTGAAATATAAAAAGATGCATACTTCTTGGTTTCTGGCAATAAATATGTCTTGTTGTGGCGCCGAGTTTACGATACATCGCTTTCATTTAATTAAATTTGCTAACTAGTGAAAAGTCTTCGATGGCATAAAAAGGTAAAACGACAATAGAATTATATTTGGGTTCAGTGGCTATTTATCTTTGCGTGATGTTTCGTCAAATTGGTGATCAAATCGACGTCAATCGCGATTTTTGGTTAAAATATGGTCAATTTGCCAAGGTTGTCCACCTCCTCGAGGTAGATAGATAGATAGCGCAGATTTCAATGCCCAAATTGAAATCGCAGATTTCAATGGCCAAATCGATTAAAGCGTAGAATTCAATTCCCAAATCGAATTCAATGGCCAAACTGATTTCTAATTTTCAAAATTTACCCGACGAGGAATGACCCAGAACCCCACAAACTGGCTCGCGCCTTCGGCGCTCGAAACATTTAGCATGACCAAATAATTTGAGCTCGTTTTGCCATATGTAGGGGTTTTATTTCCAATAATGGTGCACTCAACCCGAAACGGTGGAAAATGAGGTTTCGAACTTTAATTTTTGTTAAATTTAATTGTATATATTTCGGTCATTTGCCTTTCTAACTACAGAAAATGTCATTGGACACTAGCTAAAAGTTGTTGGACCTTTTTGATACACCCTGTATATGCAAGAAAAAGTGCTGCCGAATTATTTTAATTAAACATAGACATATAAAACCCACCATTTTCAGGAGATTGTGGTGGAAAGAGTTTAGGACCAGTTCTTCCTTTTCACCTGGAGCTATATAAAAACAAATAAATATACAAAGATTATTTCACACTTTATCGCCATTGTTTGACCATCTGCAGGTATCGAAGTTTGAATAGGCATTTAATAAAGCTGCTGATAAGGCGCAATAAAAATTACGTTTGCCCAAGTTCAGCCATTTGAAAGAACATTTGGGATGATATATAAAACTCCTTTGTCATTTTTTAATATTTTGTTTCGTTTTTGAAATGTGTTGATTGAAACGGCCATCTTGGATTAAAATTTTATGGTTTTCGTCAAGTCGAAGGCAAGGTTAGGCTGAACAATATAAAACTAGTCTTATAGGCCAGGTGACCAAGTTGATAAACCCATAGATAAGCACACCTTAAAATATCTGAATTATCACGTCAGGTAGCGGGTTTATCGGCTGAAAGCCGGAAAACATTGGTCAAGCAAGTCTGAAGACTGAAAGCTTCATGCGAAAATATTAATTATTTTTAGTATTTCTGCACAAGTGAACATAACAAATCCTACAAGGTGATTGGTCAAATTTGACGTATTAATCTGTTATATTCACGTACAGGTGAATATAACAAAATCGAAATTTTCAAAATGGCGGCTAGCCGTTTTGTTGAAGTTAATGATAAATAAATAAGCGAAATGAATTCAGACCAGAAAAACACAAAAAAACTTGTGCAAAAATATTAAAAAAATATTCGCCTCAGTCTCGGTGATTATCGGGGAATATTCACCTCGACTTCGTTTCGGCGAATATTTAACAATTAGTATTTTTTATACAAGTGAACATAACAAATCCTACACGTTGATTGGTCAAATTTGACGTAATAAGTTGTTTATTTTTTTGTAAATTAGCACCGGGCGTAATCCTAGCGTTTTCTGCAATCTGAATGGCTGCAGCAGCGGGCGGGATTTTGCGATATTTGACCACGGTCCGGAATCCTATACGTAAAGCTGAAGCAAAGCTAAAATTGCTTGTATATGTTTATTTTAAAACTGAAAAATATGAATGTGTAATTCCGAAAAATTTTAATGATGGATAAATAATTGTACTGTATTTTAATTGAATTGTTTGTTTTCTAAAGTAAAATAATTGAATATCAAAATTTTTTTATTGTTTTGTTTTCTATATGCGCAATCTAATAAAACCGTTGCCATTTGCCTCTGAGTCTTAAAAATAAATACGATATTTACCGTTTAGGTCGGTCCGGATTGAAAAATATTTTGTCTCGGTCTCAAAAACGTCCCTCGGCCTTCGGCCTCGTAAAATGATACAGTAAAATAATAAAGAAATCTTATCTTTCAAGTTAAATACAACATTTTGTGCTTTTTTCGTTTTCTGGGACGATTTTTTCAATATTTTGTCGATTTTGAAACCAAATTTGCCGAATCATTCTTTTTGAAAAGCATTATGTACTAGTCTGCTAGGCATGGTAGAAAACCCGGGTACCGGATAACCGGATAACCGGATAATCGGATAACCGGATAACCGGATAACCGGATAATCGGATAACCTGATAACCGGATAACCGGATAACCGGATAATCGGATAACCGGATAACCGGATAATCGGATAACCGGATAACTGGATAACCGGATAACCGGATAATCGGATAACCGGATAACCGGATAACCGGATAACGGATAACCGGATAACCGGATAACCGGATAACCGAATAGTATATAGAGATTTTTTCATGGGAAATACTTACGTGTGGTATTTACGCACGCGTTATAATCTGTTTTCGCAAATTAAACGAACGAGCGAGTGCAAAATTTGTTCTTCATAGACGATACAGAGTTTATTTATATTACACAGCGACAAATATAAAGGTTTATATGTTTCATAAAGCGAGACAATCAGATAAACAAAGTCGTGTCGTACAAAAATACATCGGAAAATACAATTTTTTTAGTATTAATGAACAGGAAAGGAAATATCAATTTATTATTATTATTTACAAATATTTTAAAACGGTAGCTCTTCAGAACACCTATAATCCGTTTTTCAAGAGGCCTTTTAAACTAATATTTACAAAGTTTAATAAAAATTACATCTAAAATATAATATAATATAAATTATCACACAGTTAAAGTCTAAGAGAATATATACAAAATATTGTATGCACACATAAATATAACTAATAAATATTGTCGTTTTCTCTGAGAAATGTTTTGAATTGTCCCATCGTCATTTCTTTTGCCTTAATCTCATTTGGCAAATTATTCCAGCATTTTGCCCCTGAGTAGCTAATACTTTCTTTTGAGGAAATTAGTCAAGGGCCTCTTTTAACATAAAGACTGGGGGGGACATGGCCCCCCCCCCAGCCCCCCTTACTGCCCCCCCAGTCGGCAATTTTGTCCCCCCCAGTAGAAAGTCCCTTTTCATATTTTTTGGTGTGAAAATAACTCCCAAAGTCAATATTGGACAACATAATTAATCCTTATTCCAGTATTCCTTTCGCAGAATCTCTGCTATTCCTTTGCCTTCCCTTTCTGGACAATGAAAAATAGAAAAATAGTCAAATAGGAAATTTCGATCTGCAAAAAAATATTTTTCAAAGTGGGACTGGGAACGAAAGTGGGAACATTGGGATTTTGGGGAAATCTCGGGATATTCGGGAAGCTTAGTTGGGAATTTCAAAAACATAATTTACATCAAAATTTACATGCAAATTGCTTGCCTTTGTTTGTACTATTAGTATTAAAAATGCCGTATGCAAATAAAAGAAAAGCGAATATTGAAAAACTGTTAAAACAAGAAGCGAGTAAATGCAAAAAGGTATCGGATTTCTTCACAAAGAACGAAAATGCAAGAAGTACAAGGCACTGCAGCTACTGGAGGCACTGACCAAGGAGAACCTCGTAAAGACAATGAACTGAATGAAGTGGATTTTGATATTCGAAATTCAGATAGGGAAGGTAATGTTCAATTTGTTCATACACGGGTTCCTTTGAATAATATTCCAAGCAATACTACACCTTCGACCTTATCGTCAACAAGCTCTGCAAATATAAACAGCATTACTTTGGTTACAACAAGTGACGTTGGTTTGCCAATAAGCACAGCAAACACATCGTCAACGCAAATGACTACTGAAACCACTACTGAGTATTACAGAGGCTACCCATTAAACCTAAAAGCACTTCTAGGAAAATTTGGAGATGGTGTACTATCTCAATATTATGAACGAAGTAGAGTTTCAACGCAGAATCGCCAGAAAGCTAGGGTTTTTGTCAAGTGTTGCATCTGTGGTGAATTCGAAGAGGAAGCAAAGCGCTTTTCAGCTAATGGTAGAGTGTACATGGCACAAGGTGTGCGTTGTGATGGGAAGAAAAAGATACAAGATGTAATTGATCATCTACTGGGGCCTTCACATAGAGCAGCTCAAGAAAAGAAACAGCTATCCAAGTTGTGGAATGCCAAAGACAAACGTCACCCATTTATTAACTTGGCAACAAAAAGTGATCCAACAGTTTTGAAGACCTTGACTGAAATGGCAGTAGAGGTCTATAATGACAGTAAATCTTTGACTTTAGCTGCCTGGTCATGGCCAGGTAGATCTCTTGCTAATTTACATGCACAACAACAGTTTAGGTCTTTAACTGACAGTGACAACGTACAAAGTTTTACCCCGTTTAAACCAAGTGGAGAGGAACTTCATTATAGGGATCCAATGCATTATGCAGAAATGTTGGAGATAATAGGAGATACAGAGAGAAAGCACCTTAGAGAAGAACTCCAGAACTGTATTTGTTTTGCTGCACAAATGGATGGTTCTGTCGATGCTAGGCAACAAGATAAGAAATTTATATTTGTTCGATTCAATACACCCGAGGACCCTCTTTCTATTAAGACAAGATTTGCAAGTGCAAGGGAAAGTACCAAGCGTGGTCCTGAAGGTTTGTGTTCTGCCATGACAAACTGTTTTGATGACATGGGCCTTTCTAAAGAATGTTTGCAGTCAAAATTTGTTGGGATGAGCACCGATGGAGAGTCTGCAAACACTGGTAAGGATTCTGGACTGTGGGCTAGAGTTGAAAATTATGTTGGTCGTTCAACAAGAAATATCTGGTGTGCATGTCACCGATCAGACTTAGCAATGGAAGATGTGATGAGGTAATAATAATAATAAATTAATAATAATAAAATAATGATTACAATATTTCATTAGGAAGTCCACTCACAAAAGAGATTTTAAGTGAAGCCCTGAGCAAAAAAAGATAAAAAAATAAATTATAAGGCTATATTAATGTTAACATTTATAATGTCTTAGGTTGGTACCTGAACTGAAAATCTGGCTTTCCAATGTAACGGGAGTAGCTACTTATTACCGCACATCAGGCCTAAGGACTAAGGAGTTGAAGACCATAAAACCAGACATGAGAAGTTTTCCTCCTCATCATGAGGTAAGGTTTGCTCAACATCTTGTTCAACTTTGTGGAGCGATACTATTCAATTTAGATGGATGTTTAAAGCACTGGCAAAAGATTTGTGATGCTCCTCGAGAATATAATACCAAGGAGGTATCGTCTGCAAAAGGATTTTTAAAGTTGTGGCAACCAACAGGAGTGCAAGCATGGCTAACTGCTGTTATGGTGGACACATGCTGTATCTTCAGATATATTGAAAAAGAAGCCCAGAAGCCTGGCATTATCATTCCTGATATCTTGAAGTACAGAGATACTGCCTTGCAAAAACTTGATATAATGCAAACAGAGCCATATCCAGGTAAAATATATATAGTTAGTAAGTTACTTTGTTTATAGAAAACAAATTGAACTCACTCTTATTTGAGTTCTTTAACAAAGGTGTATTATTCATTACATTGTATGTTATTTTACTGCACATAGGTGGGCAGGAGGAGTTATTAACAAAGAAGATTGCAGAACTGCATCCAGAGAATGATGAAGCAGTGGATAATACACCAAGAAGGACACACAACACCAATGTGACAACGTTTCGTAGAGGAAAACAACCTATCAGGCAAGAGGTTATTGATTCTTCAAGGAATTTTCTCCAGGTAAAATGAGATAAATAGGTAATCTCATATCTGTTTAGCAATCAGGTCACACCATATAAAGTTTTTAATTACTATTACCTATATTTTTTATGTATATCATTATCATGTTTAGACCAGGCTCAACGAGGAACAAACAGAAATTGTAACAACCATTATCAACTTGACCTCAGCAAAACGTGCAATTGAATTCATCAACATTGCATTACCTCAACTTGAATCAAGTGGAATCAGTGATAAACAAGCATTTATTGATGCAGTTTTAGAAAATTTTACGGAAATGCTTCCTGATACACATATTCCTGCAAGAGACTATGGTGTGAGACTCTACCAAATGCTAAGGGGCAGCAAACAACCTGTGACCAAGTTTTTGTCAGGTTTTTGTGTTCTCTGCCCTCACAGTATGACGGTGGAAAGATGTGTGTCAACGTACAACATGTTATTCTCCAACCTGAGAATGGCCACATCTGAAAAAACACTGAATGATAGGCTATTGATTCACTGGAATGGAGTGCCAACATCTCAGTTTGACCCCAGTCCTATGGTGCAAGAATTTCTACAGAAAAAACAGAGGCGAATGAATTTTCCTAATCTGAGTTCATATGCGGAACGTGACTTCGTAAAGAAGTTTTTTACATCGGACTGCTGATTGATAGATTACATGTATATAGTGGTATACTGTATAGATGAGTTTCACTAGCTGCCTGGCAATTATATATAAGTGAGAAAAAGGTGTGTTGACAACTTGACATTATTTTCTAAATTTGACCATCATCTGCTGCCCTAGAGCGAAACCCATATTTAAACTAGTAGCCGCAATTTTATAGACTTTAGTAGATTTTTTTCAGGTCCCCTTTTTACGTTATTTTTGGTCCCTTGGGAAAGATGTCCCACCCAGTTACATATCCTTAAAAGAGGCCCTGGAGTGACAAGACTAGACAATTTCCCGACCGTACTCGAATTCTCAAAAGTGGGGTGCTATTGTGGGTAGATTCTTTACAAAAATGCTTTGGTTAAGAAAGTCTACATGAAAACAAGATAACAAGACCTTCCAGACGAAGAGCCTTTGCTTGATACATTGAAGTTCGCATTATATTTTTCAGGTAGACTATCTTATCAGTTCGTCAGGTTCTATTTGTTCACATGGGAAACCGAGCATGACAAGTTCCTGTGTTAATAGGTAGAACTAGGCGAATTTGACTATGGTATAACATTGTTTAAAACATTTAACACAATTTTTAGTATTTTAAAGATCCATATACATACTGCATGCTAAATAGACATACCAATGAAAAGATCTTCTGGCTTCAGGGTTGTTAGCTGTTTCTGTGGTTCTTGTGTCATTTCAGGGTTGTCAAGCAGATCACGTACACCATCTCAGTTGGGGATAATTGTACCCCGAACTGTGAAATTCCACATTGTGGGTCCAAGAACTTAAAAAAAGTTGGTGATGACGTTTATTTCCTCGGTACATGTTTATGTTGTCCAGTAACAATATAATTTATCAAAAGGGTTTGACTTTCTGATGTTATACAAAAGGGCCAAAGCATGATGTCCACAAAGCACTTTCTTTTCATTGGTTTTATGAACATTTCTTTCATGCTGACTGATTATGGCCTCCACAATACTGTGCAACAGTGGACATTTCTCTCTTACTTCATCTCCAAAATCTTTAAAAATGAATGGATGTAACAACTCTGTAGTATCTTTGACATTCCTACTACGAATCCCAAGATTACAGATGTTTTGAAACACTTTAAGTTCTTTGGCGATGGTCACATTATTAAATTAACAAGTTTTAACATGATATTTACAAAATTAACTTTCTTCAGTTTTTTTAACTGTTAAATGTCCAAACGTTTTTATTTTTTATTAAGATTGTTAGTATGTTGTCAGCTTGGTTGTGGCTGAGGCAATTTCAATGTTCCCAGCATCAAAAGTTTGTTTCTTCCTCAATGAGCGTGATCCTCAAACACAATAATATCGCCGAGCGAAGTAGAGCGAATGATATCTTTGAGCGGAGCCAGTTCGTTGTTATACTGACAGCAAGTTTGCGCTTTTCAGCGATTGAAGATGCAAGTGCAGAGATAAATCTTTCTGTCTCTCTGCTACTTCCACCATAAGGTGTAAAGACCAAGGGTGTGAACAAACCATGTTCTATGTTCACATTCTTTCAGCGTAGGCGCGTTTCTTCTCACGTTTGTTGGCGGAAAAAGCAGTTGATAACTTCTGGTTTCTGTAGCTAGGAGCGAAAGGATTAAACACCCATACATCAAAGAATGCTCGTTGACCACGTTGCCAGAAGCCACCAATACTGATATCCAGTCTTGATTTGTCTTTCCCGTTTGCTGTTGCATGGAGTTGCTCACCAGTGAGAGGGAGAAGGTTTGATTCAATCTCCACGTCGTTAGTAATCTCGGAAGCCATATGCCCAAAAAGATCGTGTATGTCGTCATGGCGTTGATGTACAAAGCCGCCTTTGTGACAGGACAATGCATGATCTACGAGGACCGTTTCCCGCAAGCACAAGTAGTTGGAATAAACTTGAGCGGCCACCTGTATCTCATACGAATAGCATTGTAGAATTCTCGTTTGTTGAGGACTTAGTTTTCTTCACTTATTGGAAGTGAAGTTAACCAGTTTGATGCTCTTTTCTTTTGGGCAATCTCATTTGCACGTTTCTGGTCCCCGTTCATCCTTTCTTGCAACCCTGCGAGTATCTGTTCATGCTCCAGATTTCTCGATCTTTTGATGTCATTCTTTGTTGAGTGATGAGCTGTGTTGTCAAAGGAGTACTCCGCAGTCTGAGATTTGATGTTCTCGGTCAGTTGTTGACTAGCTTTCTTGGAATATTCATATTCTCTATAGGCGATCTGGGATAAGATGGGAATAGCAAGACCACCAAAACGAGCAGGAAGACTAAGGAGTTTGCATTTATCTTGGGAGCAGTGATGGCCTTCAGTTATGGCAGGGATGAAATAATGGTTTAGGATTTCATCGAATGGCTGCAGTAATGGACCAAGGTTAGGAAGCGTGTGCATGTAGTAGGTCAGTTTATGTTGAAAACCAGAAACAAATGCTGCATACGCTGCCTGTGGTTCCGACTGCGCGATCTTTGACAAGTTCATCACCTGCTCACACCACTTCTTGACAAGTTCCTTCACATAGTTTTCTCTCGATTCCTTTCTTCCAACAAAACCACGAAGATATGCATGTCCTTCAGATGTGATGTTAATATCAGTATCCACGAATATCTCTCTCACAGCATCAACTCTGTCCTCTTTCACAACTAACCAAGACTTCAAGGCTTTTGGATAGTATCCCAAGAGAGGACCAAAGTGAACAACTTGATTCCACCACGTTCGCAAACACCCAAGGACTCTTGCACCACCGAGATCATCAGCATATGCTGCGTGCTTCACTTTCTCATCACTCGCAGTGCTAACATCATCTTCTCGAACTTGTATCATCTGCAGTAGTAATGATGCGATTCCAACTGTATACGCTGGCATTGCTATTGGATCTCCCTGAGTTGTTCCCTCTTGCGATAAGATTTCTTTGCCATCCATTACAAATAATTGTGACGGTGAGCCATAACAGTTTTTAGTGTGAAGTTTCACTCCACACTGTTGTGATGGCTGGCGAATTCACATGAATCAGTCAGTCAGTCAATCATAGAGTAAACTTTCCGGGGGTGTATACGAGTTATGTTCGCAGTGATTTATTGTACTTATTTCATATTGAGTCGCTTTCTTTTGTTATTCAAGACCTTGTATCTAGCGTAATTACTCGTCCATCTGAAAGCCTGGGGAGGGATTTGATTTTCAGCAGGGAAGAGTGGGGCTGATGTATGAATTTGAATTGCTCAATACACACATGAGGAGGTATATATCTAGATAAATACCTCATTAAACTATTCATGAGGTATTTATCTAGATATATACCTCATGAATAGTTTAATGAGGTATTTATCTAGATAAATACCTCATTAAACTATTCATGAGGTATTTATCTAGATATATACCTCATGAATAGTTTAATGAGGTATTTATCTAGATAAATACCTCATTAAACTATTCATGAGGTATTTAACTAGATATATACCTCATGAATAGTTTAATGAGGTATTTATCTAGATAAATACCTCACTAAAACTATACTCATGATGTACTTATCTGGGTAAGTACCTAATAAGAGGTTAGTCTCTTTCCCAACTCGATAAACGCTGTACCGTCTTCAGTCGGGAAAGAGACAACAGCCGTGTACCTCAGAGCCCGTCAAAACTCTACCATTACGTAAGAGTATGTATCATTTGGTGCACGAGGACTAGCTGGATCAACCATCAAACTTGCTTGTGCAGGGAATTTATACAGTAACATCTGCTCTTTCGCTTGTGGGACGTGAAATATACTGCGCATGCTTGACCACATTTTAAAGCGTATACAGGGTGTATCAAAAAAAGCGCAATCCTCGACTAAAATGTAAATTGCTAAACAAATAATAGACGAAAACTTTAAAGTTTACATTCATTTTAAAGTGTAGCCATTCAGCTTTCTAACAGTTGGTTGTTTCTTAAATTTGACTCATTGGTTCGCGGGTAATAATACTTTACGTTATTGCGATTGGAGATTAAAAAAATTGAGATGGAATAACAAATCGTTCTAATGAAAATAAGTGATTTTTTCATTAAAACAAAATGTTGCATTTTATTAAATGGATTGTAACAATAAGTATAATTACGGCTTTTCTTCCACTATTTTTAACTCAGTTTGAAACTTCAAATGCGATATAAATTTGGCTTGGACCATCTAAGCTGACTGACATCAACTTGCTATAATTTCTGTTTACATTACATCGCAATTCGATGACTCTGGCTCAGACACCAGAATGTTTTGACGATTTTTAGCATTCGTTTAGATTTTCAAACAACCTGGTCTCTTTTAAAATACTTTTAATTTGTTCTTACGTGGTTTTCCAGATGTAGTGACGACAACATTAAAGTTTAAAGAAGAAAATTCGAACATTTAAACCGACTAAACAATAACATAGTAAACGTGCATAATTAAACAGGAACTAAAAATGATAGGTTTTACTAAATCTTTTCCTGTGCAATTATTACTAGCATTGGAGACAAGGATAATAGTTTGTTTGAAAGAGAAAAGAAAAGGCTTTGAAGTAAGCATAAAAGCGTTTAACTAGAAATAGTATTTCGAAAGTTATTAAGCACAAAAGATGAATTGCGTTTATTTTGATACACCCTGTATAGTGCGCATACTCAGCCTTGTGTTACGTCCCACAAGCATAAGAGCTGTTTTGTGAATACCTCGGGCGAATACCTCGGGTGAATACCTCGGGCGTCGGTATTTAGTCATATACATGTATATGACTAAATACCGACGCCCGAGGTGTTTAACTCTAACTTAGTCAGTGCTTTGAAGGTTATTTAAGCAATTTTATTTATTTTCTTTAAATATTCTTTTGTCTTTTTCCCAAGTTCACAAAAATTTTGAGGAATCGTCGTTATTGTAAATTTTTGTAATTTAGAACATTCGCTTCTCATGTTGTGTAAAGGATCTTTCTCGTGTTGTGTAAAGGATCTTTTCGGAACACCCAATTTTTTCTATAGCAGCGCAAATGTGCATGCGCTATGAAGCCGTAGATCACGATGCTATAAACATTTCAGACATGAATATTGAGTAAGGCCCTGTTTACACTATACCGGATTGCTATCGGAGTGGGTCAAATTTTGTAGGTATCGAAAGGCTGTTAAGATTTTTAATCTCAGAGACCCAAATAAACATGCCAATTCTGTCAAACTATTAATAAGCATTTGCTACTAACCCTTTATTCCGTAGCGGCAAAAGAAGATGTTGTGACCAGCGAATCCGGTATAGTGTAAACAGGGCCTAAATCTTTGAGAATCTACGCAATATATAAATTTGTGTTATGCATGACAGTCTTTTAATCAAGCACTGATATATGTAGACGGTATATTCATTATACAGAGCGACAGTGTTGTTTTCAAATGTATAAACATTTCAGACGTAAATATTAAGAATTTCTTTGAGATTCTAGGCATTCAATTGAGTGCTGATATTATTTTCACGGCATAATCATTATACAGAGGTACAGTACGTAGGCAGAAGCGAGAAAGTGTTGTTTTCAAGTTGTTTTCAGACATGAATATTGAGAAAATCTTTGAGACTCTACGCAATAATACATGTTATGCATTACCGGCATTCAATTTAGTGCCCATCGATATTATTCAGACCGTGTATTCATTAAGTGTATACATTGCCATTGACTGTATAAGGTGCTACATCACAGAATAGATGGCTACACTCAGTACAAAGAGCGAAAAATTGCATCAGATCTGTATCAGATCAATAAAGCATAAACAACTATTAAACAAGCAGGTAAACATTTGTACGGCGTTTACGAAGAAAATAACTTGCGAGACTAAAGAAATCAGTTGAGTCAGAGCTCCTTATTTGTAAATACGAAAGACGAGGAGATAGCCAATGTGTTATCGCCAATCGCTTGGCTCGCCAACAAGCTTTATGCAATAGAAGAAAAAAGCAAGGAGGTACATGTAGCCAACGTGTACCGTCACAGACCTTGTCTTTGTTTACTGTCTAGCAGGTTAAAATGCGGAAGCGGATGGAGCGGATCCACGGAACGGATATGTGGATAAAATACGGAACGGATGAGGATAAAATGCGTCCTTTTAATTAATGATGTAACGACGTAGTGCTTATTATTCATAACATATCTTATACAGCTATTTCAATTATAGTTTTAGATAAATTTAGCATAGCAGTATCCTCGCGGGGATGCTTTTAGCGACAGCTGCAAATGCAAATGAAAATTTAGAATATGCAAAATTTGGTTGTTGATGAAACAATTTAAATTTTGAATTGTCTCGTGTAGCATCACAATAAATAGATAAATTGCATCAGTTTCACAGGGCACGTTTCTGGTGTGTTAGGCTTCTTTCAAATGTCACGCTACTCGTGTGCCAAGCGTATTAAAAGCAATGAATAATGAGATGAAATGCCTTTGGTAACTATTTATTTCGTAGTGTAAGCCATCAGCTTTTCTAGGTTGCCATAGGAGGACAAAGATAGTGAATGTTATGGAGAAGCACTTGGCGATTAAGAGAATTGAAGGTGTTAGACGCATCAACGAGTAGAATGGCATCAGTTTCCTCTTCTTGGAAAATCTCCCCCATGGCATGGGCTGCTGCCTCACATCCGGATGGTAAACCAGCTGCAAGTTGAAGTGATCCAGTACTCATTAAAATATCAGGTTGATGATATATCAGCATCTTGATGGTGATGGCACAGCACTGTTTTCAGCTTGTGTTTGGTAGAATTTAAGAAGTGTCTTCATAAGTTCATCTCTCTTTTATTTGACTCTCTAACAAAATTTTTCAAGAGTTCCTCAAAGTGCACATTTCACCTGCTATTTCCAGTTGCTGTAAAATTTGTCTTAGCACTTCTTCTACAGCTCCAAGTTGATGATGGACATTGATCATCTCATCTATGAGAACATAAAAATGTTCAAGGCCATATGAAAGAACAACAATAAACTATAATTTTTAATAAATATTGTTGTATATTTTGTGTAGAACTATTGGGGAGCAGGGGTGCGAAAGCAGTAAGCGTGCTGCCTATTACATCTGAGTTAAGCCTCCTATACAGCAGGTTGAGGATATGGTGATACTCAGATGAGTGTTCTTAACTAATTTTAACTCACATAAGTTGAGATTGGTTGGTTATCTCCTGTGCTTCGAAGGTTTTCTCTGGGCACTACAGTTTCCTCCCTCACTAAAACTAACCATTAGGCACTAACTCTTATGCACTAACCAAGCACTAACTGTACTAATAAATAAGGGGGTCCTTAATATAGGGTAAATCTTTGTTTTACTGCCAGGGCCTTGATGGTACATTGACAAATACTGAATGTATGTGTTGTATTCTTTCATTTTATAACTCGCATGTCCTCCGATTTATAGAATTGATATGCATACATTACCTACCTGAAATTGGTGGTGAACACTCAGAATCTTCGCAAGAGAATGAATTTTTATGTTTGAGATTCACATAAAATGTTCTATAGTCAGTTAAAGAAACATCTTGGTTGACAGATAAATACTATTGTGTTTCAAAATAGACATTAATTCCATCAGTTTTCAATACAATACAATTCACACAGATTTGTAATGTAAATGGCTAATCCCATATAATTAAAAAGGATACAAGTAATTTTTTCTGTCCCTTCTTAGTGTAATGTCTGGGAAAATTTGTTTGATTGTACGAGTAACCAGTGAATTTGAAGTGCTACCACTATCCAAGCCAATAGATGACAGTAGGATATCTTCTGTTTACCTCACTGCCATGCCATTGAATAAAGGAAGCTTGCAGTAGATTTATTATTTTAGACTTTGTGTCTGTAATTTCTTGACCTGAAGGTTTTCCTCCTAGAAAATAAAGCAAATAGAAAATTGCAAGTTCTATAGTACATATGCATACCATACAGAGGTTATTACAGCTGTCAGTGAAGATGATTGTAAAATTTATTTCTATACATTGAATCTATGGGGATAGGCATAGTATGAATGGGGGTAAGTGTTAAATATTAAAATGAATCTACAGTGTACATCTCTTAGCTGGTAAATGTAAGATACTTACCAACAAGGGACATTTTAGCCCCGGGTTGGTTAGACGTTTTGGAATTTGGCATCAAGTCATGCTTTATTCCTCTGCTACTTCCCATAGTTACATCATCAATTTTGCTCATTTCAGCTTCAGCAGATTCTGCAAAATCCTCTTGTCTCTCTGTCGCTTTGAATTGATTGAACAAACTTCTATGTGTGGTTTGAGGGGTACTTGTTCTTATTTTATTTTATTTTTATTTTATTTTATTTTACAAGATTCGCCACACCAAACAAATATTAAACTTATTCAAATATCTACGAGTGCATTGGCTGGGACTGACCACAGAGATAAACTCCAATAACGGGGTCCCGACAAAAAAGACAAATTACTATACATGCACAAAAACATTAATTGGCTTTCGCCAAACTGTCAACAACATGATCTGAAAGATAAATTTTGAATAGAACGAGTAGAGTGGCATTTGACGCACACCGATTTAAAGGTTCTGGGATTGTCTGGGTTGTAGACGTGTTCGAGAAGGTGAAAGTAGTATCTAAATAGTAAACTTTTAAAGGAAACTATAGATCTTGTAGTATCTCTGAGGATATCGGGTAGAATGTTCCAAACGCTGGGTGCTCTTACGTAAAAACTGTTTTGAAAGCTAACAGTCTTGGATTTAGGTACATTTAGTAGAATACCATTGTCGGAATTAGAGTTTCTGGTTCTATGATTAGAAACCCGTATTGAGATGTTTGTATCAGAGTCATTAACAACACAGTTGTAGAGATAAACTAAATCTAGAAACTCGAGCCAATAGCAGATGGGAAGAATACCGATAGACTGGAGACAGTCTTTGTACAAAACGTCTGATCTATAAGGGAGGGAAAGGATGAATTTGGTGGCACGACGTTGGACGCGTTCCATTGTAGCGATGTTAGTTACTGTTTGGGGTGCCCACACTTGACTGGCATACCCCAATTTGCTTCTAACCAAAGACAGGTAAAGAATCTTGTGGACTTAGATGTTGTTGATGTCAGAGGCTGATCGTCGGATGAAGCCAAGCATCATGTTTGCCTTTAATACTGTGCCATGAACTTGCTTGTTCCATTTCAGGTCGTTGGAGATAATGATCCCGAGATCTTTCTGGGTAATTAATGACTTAAGCGAAGTATCAATAAGCTGATATTCTGCGATAATTGGTTGACGACTTCTAGTAATGCTAAGAACCCCGCACTTGGATTGATTCAAGTCCATCCTCCAATCGTTGCACCATGTTACAAGTTTATTTAGATCATTTTGCAGACTTTCGCAGTCAGCTAACTTGTTCACGGGACGGTAACACTTCGTGTCGTCGGCAAACATAGCACCGGACGATTGGGTTGAAATTGAATCAGGAAGATCGTTCACAAATACCAGAAACAGCAGGGGTCCTAAAATTGAACCTTGGGGAACTCCAGATAGAACTGGGAGAGTATGGGACAACTCACCGAGAACTGTTACTCTTTGGTAGCGTCCTGAGAGGTAGTCTTTGAACCATAGCAGAAGATCACCTCTTATTCCAAACCTCTGGAGTTTAACTAACAGAAGGTTATGGCTGACCTTATCAAATGCTGTTGCAAAGTCCAGGTAAACCGAGTCGACTTGGCTTCGGTTTTCTAACGACTTGTTTATATCATGAAGAACGCGCAGAAGCTGAGAGGTGGTAGACTTGCCTTTGAGAAAACCAAATTGTAGATGGTGAAGTTGACTGGAGGCATGATATATAAGTTGGTTATAGACGCAACGTTCAAAAACTTTAGAGACCAAAGACAAGAGAGATATTGGTCTGTAATTTGATACTTCGTCAGCAGGGCCTTTCTTGGGAATTGGAATTATGTTCGAAAGTTTCCACTCGCACGTTAGTTTACCTATGGACAAGCTTTTGTTGAATAAGACACATAAAGACGAACAAACGCTCGATGCACAGATTTTTAACAATTTGTCCGGTCCAGTCGCTTTGTTTTCATCAAGAGCTGCAAGAGCGTAGTAGACCTCCTCGGATGTTAGCGTGATGTTGGAGATTGCATCCGATTTAGTGATGGAGTCGTCAGTCGAGTTGGAAAGAGTATGTTCATCATTATTACTATGAGAAGGTTGGAAAACGGAGTAGAAATAGCGATTTAGTATATTGGCGATGTCGGCTGGGTTGTTGGCTGTAGAGGTTACTCCATCATGATCAGACCAAGTCATTTTGTTGGGAACGCTCGAGGTCTTACGAACGGACTTAAACACTGACCAAAACTTCTTGCTACTTGACTTCAATAAGGCGGGCACGGATTCAAAAAACTGTTTCCATTTGTTGGTGATGACGTATTTTGTTACTCGTCGTAACTCTATACTTTTCCCAAAGCTTGGAGCACAACCTACGCTTAGCATTTCATCGGAACCAGTTTTTTCGATTGAATAGATGTTTTACTTCACCGTCAAACCATGGGGGAGTGCTACGTCTTTTAAATAACTTTTGTGGAATGTGTTTAGCAGCCGCGCCGAGAAATAAGCCTTTCCATTGTAGCCAGTCAGCATTGATATCGTCAGAGGTGGTGTCAGGGGAAAGATCAAGATGGTTTAGTGTCTCATGCAGAGAATCCCAGTCAGCGAGGTGAAAGTCGAATACAGTTCTTTTGTCGTATCCAGTTGACTTTAAATTATGTAAAATGTCAAAGAACAAAAGATGGTGGTCACTCGAGATGTCCATTGTAGCTGGTGAGATGCACGAAAGGTTGACAATGTTTTCAGGAGTAGTTGTTAAGACAAGGTCTAGAATATTGTTCAATCTGGTTGGCCACGTATTAATTTGGTGTAAAAAGAAATCGAAAGTTAGTTCCTTAAATTCAGCAGATCCAGCAGAGGTGCTTCTTTCTGGCGAAAAGGGAACACGGGCGGAGTTCCAAGTTAAGTCTGGAAAATTGAAATCACCAGTGATAAAAACTTTATCATAATGTGATGTTGTTTCAAGAAATGACGTGAACAACTCGAGCCATTCGTTAATGTCACAGCTTGGTGGTCGGTAGCAAACACAAACGAGAGCTTTCTTTGAGTTAGCCATTTCGAGTTCGATTGCAATTAACTCAAGACGATCTGACCAGTTTGGACTATTTTTTCCAGCAGTAAGTCTGTTGTAAGAGATGTTGTCACGCAAAGCTATAAGAACTCCACCACCGCGTTGGTTAACTAACCGATCTTTCCTGATAATATTATAACCGTTAGGAAGTACCTCGTTATCCGTAAAAGTTGCATTTAGCCATGTTTCCGTCACCAGAATTAAGTCAAGTTCCTCGGCGTAAACCAAGTCTTGAAAAGATCGTAAGTTACTGGCGTACGTTCCATCTTGTAACTTTCTAGTACTTCGAATACTTTGAGCATTGAAGGAAAGGCAGTGAAGGTATTGATTATTGTTAGGGCCAGGGTTAGTAGCAATGTCATTAGATAGAGATATTAGGATAATTGATATGGAAAAGTTCATGGCAACATGGAGTCCACGGAATAATTTCATATCTGACGAGAGAGGTTTGGTGAATGCTGATCGACGGGAAATATTCAAACGAGAATATTGGTTTGAGTGAGGATTTGACAACAGATGTGACACATGTAGAGTTTTACAGTTGAGGTCGGCGGGAGTAGAATGGGACAAGTCTCTGGAAAAACTTGATAAGTAGAGGTATAGATTTAGTATGATCAGTAAATTACCCGGGGTGAAAATCAATGCACCAAACGCCATAGCTGAACAGCGATGATTATTGTCAGGGGAAATCCCGCAGCTGATGTGAAGATGGTCTCAGATATCAGCGACCAAGGCTAAAGTTCAACAGTTCAACAAGGACAATCTTGCAAGCGAAAAATGATCAATACACATTCGTGAATAAATTCGAAAAACGTTAAATATGGTAATTACCGGGAAATTGCAGTATCGCGAAGAATTGGAGATATAAAAAAGTCACAATATGATATATAGATTTAGGACTTTGACTGTGGACGACTGGCGATCACAGTATCACTTGTACACAGTTGTTGTCATGGCAGACGACGCTAGACGTAATGAGAATATACAAAATTTCCAACGGTCAAAATAATAAAATGAGCGTAGTTTAAATTCTGTTGAACCAAAAGACACCAAAAACTTGACACAGTGACAGGAACAGAAAACATACTACACGGAGAGAGATTTAAATAAATCCAGTTCATGAAAGACGAGATAATGACAGAAAACCAAAATTCACGATTTGTAGCGAGACACAACAAAATTGACGACCAAGACAGGGGATCCAAAATATGAGAATAATTCCAACGATAAACTGCTCACAAATATATCCACAGAAACACTTAAACTTTATGATCAATTTGATAATATGTTTGATTGACTTTGCACCTATTAAGAGGTAACAAATTTACAAAATCAACGCACACCGAAAAGTTGACCCGCTATCAGTCATTCGACACTTTTTTTTTGAAATGTGGAAATTATCAATATTTTCTTACATTAGAGATTAGAGAATTAGACAAGATTAGAGAACAAGGAATGAGGGAATGTATAATATTTGTCTAAATGATCAGCAAAGAACATTTGCATACATTGTATTCATGTTCAATGTTAGGTAATAAGATAATTGGAAATGAAATACCGTATATGGACACGGAAAATTATAGAGACTGCGATTCGATCTATCTACTTTGAATTTTTTAACTAACCTTTTGTCCAAATTTTGAATTAGACCTTTGGGCAATTTCTTTCTTTGGATTTGTGATCCCTTGGGCTGCTGTTCACCAACATTTTTGTGAACACTGTTACATCCTAGATGAGATGTTCGAATTGACTTAACGCATTTTCCATCCCTTCATTACTTTTGCCGAGGTATTTCAAAGCATCAGCCACCTTGAATCCAAACACCACTCTACAAGCTTGGGCGTAAAAGTTCGGTTCAAATAATTGGCGTACCTAAATATGTTCAAATTTCATTCATGTTACTCTCTTGTTACTGCTTAACCTTGCTTTAGGTTTTAAAGGGTTCGAGATAGATACAACGTAACAGTCAATATTAAGATTACCATGCAGTATATTGAATGAATAATGGACGTTTCATATAATTTAGGAATTATAGACAATGCCAAAATTAAGAAAAACTGGCCGTATGGCATATCAAATAGTGACGTTCATAAAATGTGATATTTTTATTGCATTGAATTAGTCATAATTGTTTCAGAGTCAACATTTTTTCCTCCAAAAACCTTGCATGAGCTATAGGCTATCATGTAACTTACCTCAAATGGATTCTCACTAGCACTTGTGACTATAGGAAGTAAAATTGCTGTCATGTCATTTGTTGGTGTCTGAGCTACTCTTAAAAGCTGCGTATTGGTGAGAGTAATGTTTTTGTAGTACTAACTACATTACAGAAAAAGTCGAGCAGTCCAAGAAACAAATGTTCTTTCAGTGGCACCTTGTCTAGCATGTAATAAGAAATAGAAAAATAATTACGTGCTTAGCATGTGGTTCAATAAAAATTCTCTCAAATACGTTTTACTTTTAGGATAATGTGTGCTAGTTAAAACATTTGCAGCTCATCTGGTGATCTTCATCTGATATGCAAACTCGAGCTGAAGGCAATAGTTTCTATACGAGATAAAGATCAGATGCAAATTAATGTTTTAACGTTTTGGCCATGCTTTAAACGTTGATTAGGAAAGTTTTCAAGTTGCATGGATTGAATGATTGTGGCCATACCTTTCCTGTTGAGTACAGCAACAAGGCATGATTAAAGTGGGCACAAACATCCACTTTGTTTCTTTTAACTTGTGACAAGATCTGTGTGAACATCTGGTCCTTGTGCATTACACCAAACTGTGGAGCAAGCTCCAAAAATCACCAATGCTCTTTGACAAATTTGTTGTTATATTTTTTAATTTCTGATCAGGAAACATTCATCTTTCCAGGTTTTGTTCTTCGTTTATTTCCTTAAATGAGATTACTGCAATCCATGAAAACACTCTAATTTTTATGAAAGGAATGCGTTATTGAGTTGATAGATAATTTTATCAAAAATTGTATGAAAAAGTAAGATATAATACATGACCTTAAAACGATGTGTACAGGAGGTAACTACCAACCGCCAGACCTTGTGGTACACGTTATACAACGTTATACACATTTGTTTATCACCTCTGAATTTTGTTGGAATCTAGTAAGGATTCATTCTTATCAGAGCATTGGTTCTTAACCTGGTTTATTGTGGGCTGTTTGCTTGATGGACTATATAATGTATATAAGAAAAACAAGGGGGGAGGGAGAATTCCAAAATACTACCATAAAATATGGCACCCCACCCCCCCCCCAAAAAAAACGCATCAGAAAATATTTAATACACCCCCTTGAAGGAGATGAAATGTTTTGGATTGAAATTTCCTAAAAAGAAAATGTTTTATATTACATATAAGTAATGACGTCTGCCTGTTTATATTGAGGACAATAAATGCGTACCACACCAATAAATGCGTACTGTACCAAAAAATGCGTACTGTACCAAAAATAATATGAATAGAATGTATACCTGAAGATTTCTGTTTTGGATTTATTTCTGATGATTTTTTTGCATCGGGAAATACTGAAAACGACATAACATGACGCATTAACATGACTTATTAATGTAGAAATTATCAACATTTTCTTACATTAGAGATTAGAGAATTAGACAAGATTAGAGAACAAGGAATGAGGGAATGTATAATATTTGTTTAAATGATCAGCAAAGAACATTTGCATACATTGTATTCTATTTATTTTATTTTTATTTTACAAGTTTGCCATTGCAATAGATCTATATAGAGTACTATGGTTACAAATGACTGGAATTTCCACACAGAGATAGTTCTCCAATAACGGTGTTCCAAAAAAGAACAATGGTATATCTAATTATTTTGAAGTTAAAGGAAACATAACAATTAAAAACAGATACAAGCAGACAAAGCAAACGTATTGACGAACAAACAAACAAAAACTAAATTTAGCAACATGTTCGTGTTGATAAGTTCATTAGTGGGCGAGTGGTGTGACATTTAATACACACAGACTTAAATGTTCTTGGATCTTCAGGGTCATAAATTTGTTGGTTTAATTCTACATAGTATTTCATTAGATTACATTTAAATGTAGTTAGAGATGTGGTGGTATTTCTTATGAAGCCGGGAAGCGTGTTCCATACATTAGCAGCTCTGATGTAAAAGCTGTTTTGAAAAGAAACGTTACATGAAGTAGGATGCCGTTAGTTGAACTAGTATTCGTATTTAGTATTCCTTGTTTCTCATGTAGGGATCTTTATAGATATGTTATTGTCAGAGTTATTTATAAGGCATCTGTGAAGATACACCATATCTAAATACTCATGCCAGTAACATAGAGGGAGGATTTCGATGATAGCCAATCGTTTCTTATACGGGATAGATGTTTTGTACGGGAGCGAAAGAATAAATTTTGATGCACGTCGCTGCAACCGTTCGATCGTTAGGATGTTGTTGACAGTTTGGGGTGCCCACACTTGACTACTGTAAGCTAGCTGGCTTTGAACGATGGTCATGTACAGTATCTTTCGAACGCTTCTATTGTGAATGCCGGACGCTGTTCTCTTGAGAAAACCCAGCATTTTGTTAGCTTTTGAGGATAAGTCCTCCACATGCTGGTTCCACTTCATATCATTGGTGATACTTACGCCAAGATCTTTTACACAGGTTAAAGGTTTGACTGGAATGTCAACTAATGTGTACTGGTTAATAGTAGGTTGGAGACAACGAGTAAATTGAAGAACTCCACACTTGGATTTATTTAAATCCATCCTCCAGTCTTGACACCAGTTCGTAATATTGTTAAGATCTGATTGTAGGATTTCTCTGTCTTGGTGGTTACGAACAGCGCGATGACATTTAGTATCATCAGCAAACACTGACACGGCTGTGACTTGGGAGACGCTATCGGGAAGATTGTTTATGTAGATAAGAAAGAGGATTGGTCCAAGAATTGATCCTTGGGGAATGCCGGATAGTAGTGGGAGCGGCTGAGATGTAACACCATGTACAGTGACTCTTTGTTTGAAAACGCCCAGAAAGATAATTTTTGAACCAACGAAGAAGATTACCTTTGATGCCAAAGTTATGGAGTTTCACAAGTAAAAGGTCATGACTTACTTTGTCAAATGCTTTCGCAAAGTCGAGGTAAATCGTGTCAACTTGGCATCTTTTTTCAAGCATGTTATGAATGTTGCGAAGAACATGTAAAAGCTGGGAAGTAGTAGACTTGCCTCTTTGAAAACCATACTGTATTCATGTTCACTGTTAGGTAATAAGATAATTGGAAATGAAATACCGTATATGGACACGGAAAATTATAGAGACTGCGATTCGATCTATCTACTTTTTAACTAACCTTTTGTCCAAATTTTGGATTAGACCTTTGGGCAATTTCTTTCTTTGGGTTTGTGATCCCTTGGGCTGCCGTTCACCAACATTTTTGTGAACACTGTTAGTAGTATTACCCTGTACGTATAGCGGCGGAAGTCCCGTATAGCGGCGGAAGTAATTAGTATGCAGGAGCGAATAGAGTGCCGGAAGTAATTAGTATGCAGGAGCGGCGGAAGCAATATGACGTCATGGAAACCCGAAAGTAAGGAAATGTTCTCTATGAACTTTCATAGCTCTGTATCAACTGGGCCATTATATGTATGTAGTTGTTGTGATCAATTGTGGTATAAACACAGTGTTTCCCCTGCAGACCGTCTAAGGTTAACTAATCGTGATATATGCAGATACCTTCAAAATAAAAAGAGCGTTGACAATATTGAGTGGCTCTGTCACACTTGTAATAACCACTTAAAAAGAGGGAAAGTTCCTCCCTGTGCAATTGTTAATGGGATGAAATTTCCACAAAAACCCGATTTCTTTGATCTGAATGAACTAGAGTGCCGTCTTGTCGCTCCTCGGTTAGCATTTCAAAAGATATTCCAAGCCCCAAGGGGTGGACAACTGAAGATTACTGGTAATGTTGTAAATGTTCCAGCAGATGTTAACAGCACAGTTAATATGCTTCCTAGGCTGTCAGATGACACAGGTACTATTAAAGTTCAACTAAAGCGAAGATTACAGTACAAAAGTTCTGCACTTTCTTTGAATATAAGACCTCACAAAGTTATGCAAGCAGCTGCTTGGTTGATTGGTACAAGTCCTTTATATCAAGACGAAGGGATAACTATCAACGAAAACTGGTTGAGAAGTTTACAATACTCCGGGAACAAAGCTCCCAATATCACTGAAACATCAAATGATGAAGATGAACAAACTACATCGAATTCTCCAGAAGATGAATGGACTGAAGATGTAGCTGAGATACCAGCAGGTGTAACTGATAGTATGTTGACTCCGCCAGATTTTGTCAATGATAGTGAAAGACAGGAGATTTATAACTTTGCACCCGGCGAAGGAAACAGACCATTGAGTGTATTTAGAGATCAGTACTCCGAAGAGATGGCATATCCAGGAATATTTCTGGGACAAAAAAGACCTGATGAAAAAAATAGACTAAGAAGTGTTTACTACAGTGAAATATGTAAGTCTGAATTGAGAAGATCAGACCGTCGAGCTGCCATTTGCGTGGAAAATATATTTTTCAAAGCTAAAAAATTACAAATGAAACTTTTGATTGGACAATCACAAATTGCTCTGAGAAAAAACAAAATGGGAAATCGAACACTTACTGCTGGAGAATTAAAAACGCAAGAAGGTTTGCAAAGCTTGATAGACCATGATGATGGTTTCAGATTCTTGAAAACTTTAAGAGGTTCGCCTCCTTACTTTGAAAAAGCCAAAAAAGACTTGTTTGCCATGATTCGCCAGTTAGGACCTGCATCATTATTTTGCAGTTTTTCTTCAGCGGAAACAAAATGGAATCATTTATTAAGAATTCTCGGTAAACTAATTGATCAGCGGAATTATAGTGATGACGAATTAAACAATCTTACATGGGAGGAGAAATGTCGACTGATTCAAAGTGACCCAGTAACATGTGCGAGACACTTTGATTTTCAGTTCAATACTTTCTTAAAAGATGTGTTAATGAGTGAACTTGTCCCGATAGGGAAAATTAAAGATTGGTTTTTACCGAGTTGAGTACCAGCAGCGTGGTTCACCTCAAATACATATGTTGATATGGCTTGAAAACGCACCTGTGTTTGGTGTTGATAAAGATGAAGATGTTGTTGCGTACATTGATAGCATTATTACGTGTAGGAAACCAAATAGCGACCCAGAATTACTTGATCTTGTTAACCGACAGACACACAGGCATTCCCATACTTGCAGGAAAAGGTCTAAAAATATTTGTAGATTTAACTACCCACAACCACCAATGGGGTCCACTCAGATTCTGTACCCACTTGATGACAATACACCTCCGACTGTTGTCAAAAGCAGTAAAGAATTGTGGAAAAATATTAGGGGCAAGCTAAATGATCTTAAAGAAGGTAAAAACATTACATTTTCTGAACTTTTAGAAGAGTTAGACGTTTCGGAACGTCAATATTACCTTGCAATTCGATCATCTTTAAACTGTCCAACATTATTTTTAAAAAGAAGTCCAAACGAATTAAGGATAAATAATTACAATCGTACATGCCTTCAGGCATGGAGAGCTAATATGGATATTCAATATGTCTTAGATGTGTATGCATGTGCCATGTATATTGTTTCATATATTTCCAAAGCTCAAAAGGGAATGAGTGAATTACTACGCAAAGCTGTTGATGAAGCAAAACAGGGAAACACGAACATAAAACAGCAAGTTCGTGATATTGGAAACAAGTTTTTGAATTCTGTAGAAATTTGTGCACAAGAAGCAGTCTATGTAGTTCTGCAACTTCCTATGCGAAAGGCATCACGTAGTGTCATTTTTATTAATACATCTCCTCCTGCTGAACGAGTCGAGTTGCTAAAACCTTTGAGTGAAATAGAAAAAATGTCAGACGAATGCGAAGAAATACAATCTGGTGGGCTTTTAAAAAGATATGTAGAACGACCTGAATGTATGCAAAATACAACATTAGCTGATTGGGCGGCATGGTATGACTCCTGTATTATATATAGTTGCAGAAAAACAAACAAAAAGACCGACATCGATAATCTCCCAATGGAGAACAATGAAGAAAATAACGATGACCAGTTATTGGAAAATAATCCAGGTGTAAATGCTACAATAAGTAAAGCAGTAAAGAAAAGAATTCAAGCGAGAATAATCCGAAGTGTCTGGTTCAATAAAGAGGCTCAACCGAACAAACATTATCGTGAGTTGATTATGC